CCCCTCAGCCATGTCGCGACAGAGCCCTCAGGAGGAGAACCTGCCCGGCCGCCCCTCAGCCATGTCGCGACAGAGCCCTCAGGAGGAGAACCTGCAGGGTAAGGGCCCGCGGGCCGCGGGGCGAGGGCGGGGGGCGCGGCGCTGCCCTCACTGCCGGGCGCAACCATCGCGGGTCCCTTCTCGCTCGGTGGATTGCGATAGGAGGTGTGTGCGCTGCGCTGCGTGTGCATCCCCCTTGTCCGGGGAACGGGGCAGGTGGATGTGCCGGAGAGCAGGGATCGGGCCGGTCGCAGGGATCGATGGCACCAAATTCGCCTGGAGGGGGAAAAGTGCCAGTGCAACCCCAAACATAGCGATTGACACGGTGCGTGTAGCGATTTCAGGAGACTGTCTCTGCTCTGTGCCATCCTGCTTCTTCATCTCATGCATTGAAAGCCGTGTCTTGATGGAATGAAGCTTTGCAGTGCTGCTCCGGTGTTTTGTAGTGCTGGTCCGTGCTCGCACATGTGTCTGGGCTGGGATATCGTGTAAGGTCCCTCTGTCCGGAGTCCATCCCCGTGACTCATCTGTCCGGGCTGCAGCGCCTTTCCCGGGCTTTGACCTGTTTGTGTTTACAGCTTCGTAAAAACACAGGTTCTTTTCTCTTTAAATGATGATATCGCAGCCCGTTCCATGTGCTCCAGCACAACCCTACTCTGAGAAATGTCCAAAAGAAGGAAAAAAAGGGAAAATTGTGAACTACATCTACTGTCCTCTTGCTGCTGCAGTCACAATCCCTTCCATGGTTTATCCGTCATTCCCAGCACTGTGCCCAGTAAGATTTCAGCAGATAAATTCTTAATTTGGGCTCCAGTGGTTGTGATCGTTCTTTGGTAACAACTTGAGCTTCCATAAATTTGGGGGGAAAGGGTAGGGAAGGGTTTTTCTGGCTCTAAACACACCCCCTGCCACATACCAGGCATTGTCACGTGGAGGGGAAAATTCCCAAACAAACCCAAACAACAACAAACCGGCTGTGAAGGAAAASGGTTTTTGAAGCAAAGTGTCTGTCTCTTCCAAGCTCGGTGGCCTGGAATGTTTTTGTCCAGCAGGTTTTGTGGTGTTATGGCTGTCCAGGTGGTGGTCTCTGTATTTAGAAGGGAGATGGTTGTGTTGTCCATGCACGTGAGGCAGTTTGGCTTTGCGCTGTGCCCATTTAATCTGGGAGCCCTTAGTCTCCTCCCAGCCAGGATTTCAGGGATATCTTTGCTCTTCTGACGTTCCTGCCTCACCCCAACCCCCTGCCCGGGCATCTCCCCTCCTGCACTCCTGTAATGCTGTTCCTTGAGCCGTGGATGGCTGGGAAGGGCCCTTGCAGACTGTGCAGTTCCAGCTCTTCCTGCTGGGGCTTTATTCCCTGAGCTGAGCCCCAGCACCACTGTCTGTGTCTSTCCCTTTCCCTGCTTTTTCCTTAGACAGCTTTTCCCAGAATTCAGGGAATTCCCCCTGCCCTTCTCATCCTGTCCTTCCCGCTCTGTTCCTGTGCACTGCTGTGGCTGGGGAATTCCAGTGTCATTGRTGTTCCACAGAGGGATGCCWCTGGCATTTGTGTCATTCAGGTATTTTCTGTCCCCTGAGCTCATTTATGAGGGGCTGGAGTGACTGGGCAAGGGGGAATGGCTCCCAGTGCYAGAGGGCAGGGATGGATGGGATTTTGGGCAGGAATTGTTCCCTGTAGGGTGGGCAGCCCTGGCACAGGGTGCCCAGAGAAGCTGTGGCTGCCCCTGGATCCCTTTGAGTGCCCAAGGCCAGGCTGGACATTGGGGCTGGGAGCAGCCTGGGACAGTGGGAGGTGTCCCTGCCATGGCAGGGGTGGCGCTGGGTGGCATTTGGGGTCTCCTGCAGCCCAAACCATTGCAGGATTGTGCAGCTCCAGGCCCTGCAGTGAGTGTCCCTGCCCAGGAGGGAGGTTTTATTCCCTCCCTTAGGAAAACAAAGCCCATGTGACCATGTTAAATATACTGCAAGGAGCAAMCCCATGACAGCCCTTGCCACACACCCGCTGTTGCTTAACAGCAACACCTACAAATGGTACAGAAAAAAGGCTGAACAAAACAGACCCTGGGCTATTGAGCCCAAAACATTTTCAATAAATGAATAATTGAACTTTAACAGCAGAAGTCCTTGAGATTATTTTGTTTGACTGCCACCTATGTTGAACAATAAAAAATGAATATATCCTAAAATGAAAGATCTGTATGTGCAGAGGGAAACACAAGGTACTGAGCAGCTGCTCCCAGCCCCGTGAGCCCTCCCAGCTCGCTCCCAGCGCCCTGCTCTTTGTGTTCTGTGGTGTTTATGAGCTGGGAGGCAGGGCTGGCACTGTGTCCCTGCAGTGTCACTCCAGGCAGCAGCTCCAGGGCCTGTAGCAAGCCCCTCAGGCTCCTGGGGCTCAGTTCTGCTTTCTGCCAAGCAGGGTCCTGGGTGGAGCTGCACTTCAGCAGCAATGGGAACAGCCGTGGCAGCTCAGTCTCTGCGGGRAGCCAGGAGCAAGTGCCAGCCTCCCTGTCCATCCACAACGGGGACATGGAGAAGATCCTGCTGGACGCGCAGCACGAGTCGGGCAGGAGCAGCTCCAGGGAGAGCTCCCACTGTGACAGGTGAGAGGGGGCTCTGCTGGCACGGGGGCATGGCCAAGGTCACCCTGGGGCCCAAGGACACGGGGATGGCCCAGAGGCAAAGACAGGAATGCTGCATGTGTGTATTTACATACCTGTGTGTATTTACATACATGTGTGTATTTACATACATGTGTGTATTTACATACCTGTGTATATTTACATACCTGTGTGTATTTACATACATGTGTGTATTTACATACCTRTGTGTATTTACATACMTGTGTGTATTTACATACCTGTGTRTATTTACATACMTGTGTRTATTTACATACCTGTGTGTATTTACATACATGTGTGTATTTACATACCTRTGTGTATTTACATACMTGTGTGTATTTACATACCTGTGTRTATTTACATACMTGTGTRTATTTACATACCTGTGTGTATTTACATACATGTGTGTATTTACATACCTGTGTGTATTTACATACCTGTGTGTATTTACATGCGTATTTACATGTGTGTGTTTACATACGTGTTTATATTTACATGCACAATGTGTGTATATTTATATGCACATGCATTTCCATATGCGTGTATATTTACATGTGAACACATTTACATGGGGTGTGTGTTACATATATACGTGTGCAAATGCACACGTCAGGCTGTGCCTGCAGTGCATCTGTTGGATTTTGATGGGCTGGGRGGTCTCCAGCCTCAATTGTATTTAAAAAACCCAAACTCCAGGACTCAAACTCCACACTGGGATGTGGAACTGCCTGGCCTGGCCTGGTTGGTGGGTTCAGACCAAACCCCAGTTGCACTGGTTTGCTGCCCCTTGTTTCTGTGGAAGTGCCAGGCCACAGCAGCAGTCTGGGCAGAGGGGTGGCACTCAGAGCTGTGTCTGGTGTGACTGTGGTGGCTGGGCTGTGCCAGCACTGCCCCTCCAGCCCTCGGGCAGTGCTCAGGACCCTCCTGGGCCCAGCAGCTCCTGGGGTGGCTGCAGCACTGTAACTGTGTCACAGAAATTTAATGGCTCTTCCTTCCCTGTGCTCCTGTGTGTGCAGCCCTCCTCGTTCCCAGACCCCTCAGGACAGTCACAGGGCCCTGGAGGTGGAGAGCCACAGCAGTGGGGAGAAGAACAGCTTCCAGGTAAAACCTCACCCGGGGCTGGGCAAGGGGATCTCTGCCTCTGGGTGCCTCTTGGGGAGTGACAGAGGGACTGCTAAAGCAGAGACCTGCCAGGAGCCCCGACAGAGCCAGGCTGCCTGTGTTGTTCCTGACATGTCTGGGTGTTCTGGTTTGGTATTTCCAATCTGGAACTCAGATTTTTGGGATGGATTTCCCCACCCCCTTTGGCTGCCAAATGGGTACATTGCCTCYGTCCCCCACCAATGGTTAAATGCACCTCCACCAGCTCAGTAGGAATTTTAAAAGTTATTTTGATAGCAGCAAGAATTTCTGGAGTCATGTAAACATGGCAGCCAAAACCACAATTTCCAAGCCYTGCCATAGCTTTGATTCCGGGTGTTTTTAACAATTAACACCAAATCTGAATATGTGCTGTTTTAGAAAACTCCCTGTTCTTTCTGATCTTGTTTTGTGGGTTTGTTTACCTTGCAGGGAAAGTGCATAAACATATTTGAAACAAGAGTGAGGGAAAGGATGTACATTGGTCATATTTATCAGTACAGGGCTATTTCAAGATGACAGGCTGAAATCTGAAGTCGTCAGTGTAATAAATTAGCTTTTAATACGAAAAAGAAGATCTACAAAACATTTTGAGGAAGGAAGTGAATTTCAAGGAAATGAATTTTTCTGCATCATGTCTGCAACTGCTGCCAGACTCTGAGGACCCAGCTTTATGTTAGCTAAATATGGTACTGCGAGTTAATTATTACTGGAAATTAKTATTTTTATATTGTCAGAAACACCCTTCAGCTGTTTAAAGATTGTTATTTCGGCTTTGAGAACAAATAACTCCAAGTGAGAGGCAGAATTCYAGCTGCCTGGACAGTTTTATTTCCATCCCGTGTGTGCGTGTGCATCRAGAGCTGTTGGAATTCTGGGAGCAGGATCTATTTTTATCCCAAGGCCTTGGCTGTGTGGAATGGAGCGGAGCTGAGCCAGGAGCTGTGCTCTTACTCAGCGTTTGTGCAGTCACTGCCCTGCACTGCAGCCTCAGTGGGGTTTGTTCCTGTGCACTCACCTGGCCAGGGCTTGTTCCTGTGCACTCACCTGGCCAGAGCTTGTTCCTGTGCACTCACCTGGCCAGGGCTTGTTCCTGTGCACTCACCTGGCCAGGGCTTGTTCCTGTGCACTCACCTGGCCAG